TCCAGGACATAGGAGTAGGCAAGGACTTCATGAACAAAACACCAAAAGCATTGGCAACAAAAGCCGAAATAGACAAATGGGACCTAATGAAACTCCACAGCTTCTGCACGGCAAAAGAAACACTCACTAGAGTGGATCGGCAACCAACAGAATGGGAAAAAATTTTCGCAGTCTACCCATCTGACAAAGGGCTGATATCCAGAATTTACAAACAACTCAAGCAGATTTACAGGAAAAAAACAAACAAGCCCATTCAAAAGTGGGCAAAGGATATGAACAGATACTTTATGAAAGAAGACATATATGAGGCCAACAATCATATGAAAAAATGCTCATCGTCACTGTTCATCAGAGAGATGCAAATCAAAACCACATTGAGATACCATCTCACGCCAGTTAGAATGGCGATCATTAAAAAATCTGGAGACAACAGATGCTGGAGAGGATGTGGAGAAAAAGGAACACTTTTACACTGTTGGTGGGAGTGTAAATTAGTTCAACCATTGTGGAAGACAGTGTGGCGATTCCTCAAGGCCTTAGAAATAGAAATTCCATTTGACCCAGCAATCCTATTACTGGGTATATATCCAAAAGACTATAAATCGTTCTACTATAAGGACACATGTACACGAATGTTCATTGCAGCACTGTTTACAATAGCAAAGACCTGGAATCAACCCAAATGCCCATTGATAATAGACTGGATTGGAAAAATGTGGCACATATACACCATGGAATATTATGCAGCAATCAGAAATGATGAGTTCGTGTCGTTTGTAGGGACATGGATGAATCTGGAGAACATCATCCTCAGCAAACTGACACAAGAACAGAAAATGAAACACCGCATATTCTCACTCATAGGTGGGTGATGAAAAATGAGAACACATGGACACAGAAAGGGGAGTACTAAACACTGGGGTCTATTGGGGGGAAAAGGGGAGGGCCAGTGGGAGGGGGAGTTGGGGAGGGATAGCCTGGGGAGAAATGCCAAATGTGGGTGAAGGGGAGAAGAAAAGCAAAGCACACTGCCATGTGTGTACCTACGCAACTGTCTTGCATGCTCTGCTCATGTACCCCAAAACCTATAATCCAATAAAAAATTTAAAAAAATAATAATAATAAGTTTATAGAATAAAGATATGAAGAAAATATTTTTGTACAGCTATATATGTGTTTGAGCTAAGTTTTATTACAAAAGTCAGCAAGTTTAAAAAAATTAAGAAGTTTATAAAGCAAAAAAGTTAAAGTTAGCCAAGATTCATTCATTGTTATATAAAAATTTGAAAAACAAACTTAGTGTAGCCTAAGTATACACTGACAGAATTAAAGAAAGAAATAGGCCTTTTTATAATAATATATAATAATAATCGTTGGAGGCTTCAACACCTCACTTTCGATCCAGTGGCATGATCTTGGCTCACGGCAACATCTGCCTCCCGGTTTAAGCAATTCTTGTGTTTCAGCCATCCAAGTAGCTGGGATCACAGGCTTGTGCCAACATGCCCAGATAATTTTTGTGTTTTTATTGGAGACAGGTTTTCACCACATTGATGTTTGAACAACATGTATTGGAACTGTATGGGTGCACTTACGTGCAGATTTGTTTCAACCAAATGCAGATCAAAAATACAGTGTCTATGGGCTGTGAAAGCTGGTGTACACCCAAAGCTGAGTTTTGTTATCAGCAAATTCTCTCAGATCTACTGTGGGACTTGAGTATGAGTGGATTTGAGTATACATGGGTGGTCCTGGAACAAATCCCCTGTGCATACTGAGGGATGACTGTACATATAGTATTAGTTATTGATATAAATATTTTCTACATATAAACAATTACACTACATATTAAAAAGGTGTCATGGATGATTTACTGGTATGTCAGTCACCAATTTAACTGCTAATTATTAGTGAATATTTTTAAATTAGGGAAATGAGAATAAGGCGGGAGAAGGGAGATAAGGAGAAGTGTTCCTACAATACACTCTTCTAACATGTTCTGTCACATTAGAAGATCAATATTTAGATCAATATTTTGAATTAACCTTTCTTCTTCTTCTTCCAAGAGAGAAGGAGCAGCAAGAAACTAGAACTATGCAAAATACTAGAAACTGAACTCATAACACTTAGGAACAAGGGTTTGAGCTCTGTATTAAGTGATCAGCAAAACCAGCCCAAAGCATTTTGTTTGAGTGTTTTGGCAAATATTGCTCATATAGGACCCTCTATATTGAGGAAGTAATTTGGATAATCACTAGTGGATAAATAGCAGTTTTCTTGCTTAGCTGTGCTATTTAAGGCCAATAAAGCTCTGCCTGTCCACAAATTTCAACATCCCGGAAACCACATGTAGAGGGGATTGTAAGTCAGTATCTACACCCAGGTTCAATTCTGAGTTTTGAGAGGCATGAGGTTGTCACAACTTGTGGGAGGGGCCTTCTAAAAGAGCAATAATGTAAAATTACAAATATAAAAGTAGGTACAGGAACTAGGAAAGGGAGTCAAAAAGGTAAAGAATTATAAAGCTCCTGCTCCTTTGGTATCATAGTTAATCTGTCCCTAAAATCATTAAATGTTTTAGTAAAGACTGATAGACAACATTAATATGAGAGGAAAGAAAGTCATTTTTTAATACCTTAAAACTGGCTTCTTTTGATGAGTTTAGAACTTCAAGTTATCATAAATATGGCCCTACTTCTACCCTTCTTCTGCAGTTGGGGGAACACTGGGCTATCCTTGGTCCTCTAGATGAATTCTTGTCATATGTTTCTATCTCCATGCCACCAATTAAAATAAAAAAAAGTTTTGTTTCCATATTACCATATTTACTGCCAGGAATTTTCTCATTTAATCTCCTCAAATCAGTTTATACCATAAAAATATGTTTTCTAAACACATAATTCTAATATTCTAAGGCACAAATTCTTAGAGAATTCCATTTATTAAGGCTACAACGCTTGCATCCCATCCCTTTTCATTACTCAAGTCCACCTCTGAACAGCAGAATGCACAGAGTTTAGGGTATGCTTTTTATTTCATTTGTTACTATCCTGAGTTATAATATCCTTTTATTGAAAGTTTCCTAATATCCTTCTTCTTAAACTTACTTCATTTAAATGCCTGTTTAAGACAGTGAAAACAGAAACACAGGATGAAAAAATGCCTTTATAAACTCAGCTGCACAGAAAATTGAGTTAGAGATAAACTATGTTAGGGCAAATACATTTATAACGTTTTATGCATGATCATTCAAAATTGTTTGTCATTTTATTTTTTCATATTTTGACAGTAATCATCTGTCCAAAATAGATAATAGTTGATATGAAAGAAAAAATCAGCCTTAGAAAAATATCTGATTGAATAGATTTTTAAATATAAATAACTTCACACTTACAGTTAAAACTATTTAAATATGACACAGTCTTCATGAGTGTTTAGTAAGGCTATACTTTGAGTTTTAAGTCAATTCTATGCTGTTTATCCTTGATTATATTCTTTCTCAAAGTGAAATGCTTTAAAATTTGAATTATCCTATATAGTCAACTGTATTCTTAATTTTATTTATAAATATATTCTATATGTGTCTATATATAACACTTATCTCATTGTATTATAAAAGTTACTTATCTATGAGTTCACCAAAGGAAAAAATATGGCAATTTTTATCATTTTGCCTAGGGAGATTGATGCTCAACATTGTCGATGAATGAATGGCTGAATAAATACATTCACAGTTCTCTCTGTGTTTTAAAGTAGATGCATCTTTATCCAGTTATCTCAAAAGGGATTAAAAAGTTACTAAAACAAGTTATTCATTGAAAATTTTAATAGCACATTGAAAAGCTGAAGTTAATAAAGATTTAAAAAAGACAATTACTTACGATGAGGGGTCTCAGACTGCTGGTAAGACAAATATCCCCTCGCAGTTGTTTGGCTGGCTCAGGTTGTTTTTACTTTTACTTTTTGAATATGAATGTTTAGACAGGGCATCTACTCTCTAGTTCACCATAGGATCTATCATCCCTACTGCCTTAGAATAGATCTAACTCTTAATTCCTTGTTACTTGCATGGCCTCTTAGCATTTGAGTCTGATATCCCAGTTTTCCTAGGGAGGGAAAGTAAACAGACTATCTTCTAATTTATAAATTGTAACCACCATTTCAGGCTTACAAATATTTTGTAGCTAACACAAATCCATACTAGAATAACAAATGAAGATTTAACAAAACCAAATTTAGCAAAAGCGTAAGTGAGAATCCACGATACTGGAATAATGGAACATTCTACGAATAGCCTTAGTGAATAAATTACATTCCTACTATTATCCAGCTGTTTGAAAAGAACTGAAATGAAAGGGAAAGGTAATTTTGAGTAGATAAAAATATTTAGTCACTTGCGTATGTCTTATCACTTGTATTTAGTAATGCTAGTGTGTCAATATTCACATTAAATTTATATTACATCTTACTGATCATGGCAACAGAAATAAAGGGGCACCAGGAGATCAAAATTAAGTATAGTACTCAACTAATAAAAACCCTGATCCAAATTAAAGATAAATTACTCACAAATGACACAGTCTTCTCTGATACCTTCTAGCAATCAGCATCTTTTCTATATTTTAGAGCCAGCCTAAGCCACAACTTCGGTGCAACTTCTGTAACCAAGTTCACTCTTAAAGCAAGAACTCACCTTCCTTAAAGTACACTTATTGTCTTTATAGGTTACTACTCTTTAACAAATTTGCAAGTCTGCAAATTTCATTACCAGTAATTTAGCACCCAAATTCAGCACATAATTTAGATTAACATGATGTCATATATTAATTGTAATGCAAAGCATCATTTAATAATTGGTATTTACTTTGCTGAAATTCTTCAGTTATATTATGAACACTTTGTCAGTAAAAGTGTAATCTCTTTTTGCCTCAACTGTGAAGTGAATACATCACCATTCCTGGAACACTATTAGATTTTTCAGTCTACACATTACTGATTACCTCTTTCTTTTGCAGGTTTAATTCCTTGAGATTTAGTCAATTTAGGTTGAGGTTCTGGAATCTGAGGAATGTAGATTTTCTCAGGTATACAAAAATATTGCGGAAGGCTCACTTCTGTTGTGTATGAAACTGTCTTAGGCTGCTTCCACTTTGAGGTGTGAAGGAGTGTAAGAGTCTGTGAACAAACAGTAAAATTAGAAAGTAATTTTCTTAACTTTTAACTTCAAAACACAAAAGACAGAATTATGCATTTAGACTACACTTTTGGGAAAAAATCCACCAAGGATTGAATTTGATCATTTCATTATTTTTAATTGGTGGAACATAGTACAAACACATTTCAGAGAACCAATGGAGTCCTCTTTCACTGAAAGATGGCCAATGCCCCCAGTGCTAATGCTTTCAATGTTGAGGAGTTCATTGCCTTTGGAGGAAATCATTCCACTGCTGACTGGTATTTGAGAAAGTGCTTTTCTCCTTGAGTTGGAACCTGTACTCCTTCACATCTATCCACTAGATACATCAGATATATTCTTATTAGTAGTACAGACTGAGGCCTTCTATTTCACTAATGACAATTTTATAAATTTATAAAAACAACTGGTCCCATCCCTCCACAGATGTTCAAAAGCCCTCTTACCTAGGTTTGTTATTTTTAGTCCCTCAATGACCATTCATATAATGGAGGTTACAACAACTCACCTCCATGTAAATGCTCCTCTAGACACAATTTAGTTCAATACTATTTTTCATAAAATGGGACACTTAATATAAGCCCAGATCTCTAAATGTAAGTGAAGCAAATTAAAAGTAACTTTTGTTTCTTTAGGCATATTTTCAATTCAACTAAACCATGAAAAGGCTCATATCATACATAAAATGTCAAACGACAGACAAAAATGTGTGAGAAAAGTTCTTAAGATTCTAGGATTTCACAGTTTGACAGGAGAAACAGGTAATCATAAAAGTAAACCTAATAAAAACATAATTGATTAAATGCAATAATAAACACATATGCTGCATTCCAAGGAAACAGCTAAAGGAAGAGTGAGAAAGAAACTTTGTCACAGAAAGAAACAATGAAAAGACTATTTGAGGACAAAATACCCGTCCCTCAACAATTTGCAATTTAAATAAAATGCTTTGACAAGAGGTAATAATGAAGAAAATGAATTGAAAAAGAAAACGAGGGGCATTATGACAGGATTAAGTTTTGAAATGCCAACTAATTAAAAATTTTTAATGTAATAGTGTACTCAAAGTTGAACATGAACGTTCTAAACTTTAATGTTCTATATCAGAAATAAGTGGTTTTGTTTGAGTTAAAGAAAACCATCAACTTCTTAGAAGCACAGTATAGTCAAGAAAGTATGAAAGTCTCAGGCTTTAACATATTTGAGCCAATCAGTATTTCAATATCCAGGTCATTTAAAAAATATCATCACCAATTGTTGGATTAGGTTGCAATTAGGCTGTATTGATTCTAGCATTCTGACAAATAAAAAATAATTTCTACAGTGCCAAATATTTTGATATATATAAATGAAGATAAATCTTAAACAATGTACATAAAAATGTGTATAAATTGCTAAAACAGAACCTCACTGATAGCTTTTTTTTTGAGACAGAGTTTCAGTCTTATCGCCCAGGCTGGAGTGCAATGGTATGATCTTGGCCCACTGCAACCTCCGCCCCCGGGTTCAAGCAATTCTCCTGTCTCAGCCTCCTGAGTAGGTGGGACTAAAGGCACATTCCACCATGCTTGGCTATTTTTTGTTTGTTTGTTTTTGTATTTTTAGTGGAAACCAGGTTTCACCATATTGGTCAGGCTGGTCTTGAACTCCTGACCTCAGTTGATCCACCTACCTTGGCTTCCCAAAGTGCTGGGATTACAGACATGAGGCACCACTCCTAGCCAGTAATAGCACTTTACCAGAGTCCTTAAGTAACTTAGAGAGGCAGCCCACCAATGTGTAGGGAAAAATAACAGTGGAAGTTCAAAGGCCATGAGGAAGACACCTGGCATGTTTGAAGAAAAGCAAGTAGGCACGTGCTGAGGGAGTGGTCTTAGAGAATGGACTCCAGCAGTAAAGGTAAGATAAGGGAAGGAAGCAGAACTGATGGACTGTCACATGACAGGTCATGTGGGTCATTCAAAGGATATGGCTTTTATCAAACATTAGCTGGAAAGGCAGGAGAAGAAAATGCACACAGGAGCAACACGAGCAGGCTTGCATTTACAAGAATCACTTTGGCTGCTCTTTGAGAATAGACTACCTAATTTCATTCATAAAAATAGGTTGCACCTTATTTTAACCTGTAATGATAGTCTATAGTAATAGTTAATAGTAATAGTAGTGAACTATTACTATAGGGTAGTAATAATAACCACCTCAACACCATACATAAAGAGTGCACTTGCAACATATATGAAATAAGCATTTTACATAATATTATTTCAGTTTTTACAAATTACCAATGTCTCCATATAAAAAATATAAAAATTGAGGCTTGAGAAGGTATAAATAACCAGCCCACAGTCATATAGCTGGACAGGGTTTGACTGAATTCTCAGCCTGGTAATCTGACACCAGAGATGATTCTACCTGGGTACACAGCAAAATATCCTGGGCAACTTTTGGAACATATTCCTACCTACATGCTCCTAATGATTCACATTTAATTGTTCTTGAGTGGGGCTTGGGTATGGGCATTATTTTAAGTTCTCCAGAACACTCTAACATGCAAACAGAAATGACAACTACTGTGAATTAAGACTACACTACAATGCCTTAAATTATATAGTAGAATTCTTTGTTTCAGATTCACTGTTTAACAAAGTATAAAGGAAAAGATGGCAACTGAGCCATCTTTCAGTATTTATTGCTTTTCCTTCTAAAAATATTATTTAGCCAAAATAACATTTTAAATAGTAATAGCTCTGTAGCTCTGTATATTTCTAAAGAGAGATTAATTGAAATGAATCATCTTTTTCTCCATTCCCACCTCAATCTTGGTCAGCCCCAGGAGGGCAATGACCACGCGGACACTACTGCTCTCTAGAGTGCCTGTGATCAACCGTCGCTCATACTCAATGCTTGACATCTGTCGCTGCGCTGCAAAAGCCAAAGCCTTTTCCTTGGCTTCATTAGTCATCGGTAATTGAAGGTCCACATTCAGGACTTCATCGAGTTTGCATTTCAAATATAGAACTGGATCTTTCTTATAAGTGTCTGAAGGAAGAAAAAAAAATATTAATGAATATGATGAACATGTATGCCCTTGACATTGTTATCCAGGATGGACTTGGGAGGTTTGACATATAAAATTGCAGTTATACTCTTTATTAAACAGAGTAAAATACATGCATAGAACATGTCTATTAGTTGTAATCAGTAATTAAAGAGCAAGTCTTCAGGAATTAAAGATTATTGTATTCTCCAAGAGATCTAGTCAAATAATTCATCCATAGAAACGTCATCAACATGCTCAAAAATTCAGTGATCACTGTGTTCCTTCCTATCAGTGATAGGTCGGGGAGAGTAGGCATAAATGTGAAAAAAAAAAGACACCTGTCAAAAACTGGCAAGAACTGCCATTTTCTTTCACTGACAACATTTTAATGCTTAATTCCTTAAAGAACAATAATCAAGAACTGGAGGCCTCCTAACACTGATAGGAGTCCAGGGTAAAATTCCGGGTTATACAACAATATGTAGATGTTTTTGAGAGTGTAGTAATTTGCAGATTATTTGAGAATTAGAAAGTTTTTCCAAGTAAATATTTTTATGCCAAATTCCAATATTTAGCTTAGCTTAAGATTGGAAAAAGACAACTTAAAAAAATACCATTGAAAATTTTTTAGCTGCTTAAATCGTCCTCTATTTCATGGATGCTGATGCAATAAAGTTAAAAGAGACCTTCCAAATCTAAACACATAGAAGAGAAGCTTGCTACAAAGATGCTTAGGTAACTATATGAGGAACAGTCCATTCCTCAACATTATAAATGAACTAAAACACATCTGTTCTCTACCTTCTTTTGGAGTACTGCTGTAATCAACTGAACTTGAAGAATAATTCACTGGAAGGAAACTGGAAGGCAAAGGGATCATGCCTTTTCCTTCTGCAACATATATAAATTGTCCAATCTAAAACATAAGACATTATAACGTTAAATTTAAAAATCATAAAAATATAACTTTTTCTGCTATAAGGGAAATCTGCATATTATAAGAACCAGTATGCATTGTGCTTTTTTAAGCAACATAGCCTATAAATGAATAAACAAAGGTAAGGCACAAATATAGTTCAACCATAGTGTGGGAAAACTGCCTGCAACCAGAACATAGGGATTGCTTAAGGTTGTCCCAGGATCTCACTGATAGCAATTTATCTTTCCAAATATCCTCGGGCAACTATTGTCTTAAAATGAACAAACAAGCAAGAACGTTTTTCCTTTAGTCTATAACTTATTATTGGAGAAGAGTGACATCAGTTTTGCCAGGCATCCAAGTCTCCAAAAGTCTATTTTTTAAAGTGCAAGTTTTCAAAATGAACATGGAAAAGTCTAAATTTTTTTAGAAAAAATAATTAGACAAGAAGTATAATACATTATAACTTTTAAAAGCCTATTATAAATAAAGGCTTAAGACGGAAAAGAATCTTTTATTTGACAAATGAAAGTCCCCTTTAATTATCAGTCATAGAGAGGCTTTAAAATGTGACAGCAGTTGAGTTTCAAATCCCCTTAAGCTAAATAATTACTTCTTGAGGCCACTTCATGTGTGGCCTCTACACTAACTGAAGCCAAGTAGCTCTAAAATGCCATATGCTAGAAACCGTAACTCATACTCTATAGTTCAAACAATGTATAGCCAATCACTAGCCAATATTATTTCTGTAAATCAGGGAGAATTCCTGTCAAACACCTTTGTATCAGTCATTCTTGTCCCTTTTTGCCTTTGGAGGGATAGCCTGGGGAGAAATGCCAAATGTGGGTGAAGGGGAGAAGAAAAGCAAAGCACACTGCCATGTGTGTACCTACGCAACTGTCTTGCATGCTCTGCTCATGTACCCCAAAACCTATAATCCAATAAAAAATTAAAAAAAAAAAAAAAAAAAACAAATGTTTTCTCAAAAAAAAAAAAAAAATCTGTTTATAATAAAGGCTAAAGGGATCACTACCCAAGGCAACCTGGAAGTAAGTCATTTGCAACTGTCCTCAACCTTGGCCCAAACAACCTCCCTATATTAATGTTGCCTCAGTTTCTGTCTTTAGACCAATAGGCTAAAGAAATAAGGCAAAAACAAAAGCAGGAATAATGTAAGGGCAGCAACATGATACAGTGAAAGATCAGTAGAGTTGGACATGCCTGGTTTTAATTGGCACTGCCATTTATTAACTACTAGGCTACAAGCAAGTCTACTAAACCTCTGAAATACAGTTTCCTTCTATGTCATATGGGATGATCAATACCTTAATTTTAGAAACCTAGAGTTTAAACAAAAAGGAATAGGAGATAGGGAGTCTCAAGAGACATATGCAATCACAATGCTTGAAACTTATTTAGATCCTGATTCAAACAAAGAACCTTAAAATGAAGTGACAGAAAAAACTTACAAACAACTCTAAGACAATTGAAGAAATATGAAAACTGCTTGGACATTTGATAATATTAAGAAAAATTTTAACTTATTTTTAATAGCAATGATATCTTTGGCAGCGTCAAAAAAACCTTTTTGTTGTACAAGCACTTACTGAATTGCTTATGAATAAATTCTATGATGACTAGGATTTGCTTAATTATAATAATGAAACATCTAGATACATGACGTAAACAAAAAATAAAATTCTAAGACCCTAACTAACTAAATAGATCCCTGTCACCAGCCAAAGGCATTCCAAAGTTAACCTGACAAATTTGTTCAGGCCATGATGGGAAGTGAGGGAAGTCCAAACATGCCTCATTATACCTCCCTCTCCTTGGAATTCAGGCACAGCTGACCATCATTAACACTACAACAGAGACCTTAAAAACGACAAAACAGACCCTTTCGACAGGACGGAATTAACATGAAATAGCTGGCGCTGAAAGAAATCGAAGTATTTTATCTCAAAATAGATTTCCTTGACATTTTGAAATGGCCCTGCAAAGCTGCCACTTACGGGGGAAACCTACATTCTGTAGAGAATCTCCTTCTCCTGTCCAGGTTTTTTTCCTGATCCAGGAGAGAATTTACCAAAGAGTTTGGCATTTTCTTAAGTCTGATAAGAATAATTTGCTATCTATTTCTTCTGAAGCCTGCTATCTGAAGACTTCATCTGTATAGTAAGAATGTTGGTCTCCACAACCCAGTATATTAACCAACACTCTCCCTTCCATGTATTCCAGGTCTTAAGATACACTTTTTCAACCAACTGCCAATCAGAAAATAATTGAATCCTATGACCTGGAAGTTCCCACTTTTTATTCTCCTGCTTTCTGGACAGAACCAATGTATATCTTAGATGTTTTGATTGATGCCTTATGTCTCTCTAAAATGTGTAAGACCAAGCTGTATCCTGACTACCTAGGGCACATGTTCTCAGGATCTCCCATGACTGTGTCATAGGCTATGGCAACTCTCATTTGTCTCAGAATAAATCTCCCTAAATATTTTAGAGTTTGACGTTTTTTGTCAACAATGATATAAAGGTAAATTGCTCATGTAAAAAATATGTATTCTAAAATATTACAAATATAGATAACAAATCAAACTGTAGAAATTAAAAATTAATCTATAAATAATATAAGAATGAACAATTTCTCACTGTAAGGTCTATTTTTGACAGCTTTGTTATCCCCTCATTAGGATTTGTTTGTAATTCATTTGGTGGTCTACTGCTATATAACATTCCATAAAATTTTATTAAGTAAGATTCATAGCTATCTATAGTTCATGCTGGAAAAAGGAATATGAAAAACTTTAAATGTTTTATCATTTAAGTCCATATACTCCTAGCAATAAATAGTACATTATACTCAAGTTTCATAGAGCACATTTTCTTAAGCAGCCACATACTTTACAAACAAAAATCCAAGCTAGCCATTTGAAATGTGATTTGTGTGTTTGTGTGTTTGTATGTGTTTCAGTACAAATACAACTGAATGATCAACAACTAATGACGTAAAATTTTCAGTAATTCAGGGAGGGGAAAAATGCATTGGTTCAACAAAGTAAGGACTGAAGAAAACAAGATATCTTTTTGACTTTAACATTTTTGCCATCCTTAGATAACTAGGTAATGTAGGTAATTAGATAACTAATTTCCTAAAAATTTGTTGTTTTATCAAAAATAAAATACACGTAAGCAATTAGACTCAGTGAATGTAGAGTTACTATAATTACCTGTTTGTTTTGATGTATGTCCAAATAAAACCTAAACTAGAACTTGTCTACCATGTGAAAATGAATACCAACCTTTGGGAGTCAATTTAAAAGGAACAAATTGATATTTTCCAGAATATTTTCCTCAAATATAAATTATAAACATCTTCTCAGCCACTGATTAATTAGAATATTATTAACTAGGACTGCACTCAGTTTCCATTAAATTCTACATCTTATACACACAGTATATTACTATTTCTCCAAAAATTATTTTGTCTAACTTGTTCAATTTCAGTATGTTCTTTTTTTACTAAAAATCACTTAATATAATAAAAAATAATGCTTATCTTGCCTGTGTCAGATAATCTCTACTGTAATTTAATTATTTGCTTCCACTTTTTCTTGGAATAAAAGTAGACCATGAAAGGCACAGAAATGCAATAAAGAGCTGTTTTAAAGTAGAAAATCCCCTCATATTCCAAATCTAGAAACTTTGACAAGGGAAATGAAATTAGCTGACACATAGCAGACATTTCTCATCATGAACTGTTCTAATAATCACCTATACAAGTTTTTTTCCTGCTTTTAATTTCATAACATCGATTTGGCATGCTTAACTAGAAATATATTTTCCAGAAAGATGCCAAAGCTCATTGTCAATTATAAGAAACTTTTAGAGAAGATCCTTGTTCTTCTTGTGTATCTAGTTAAATGCAGTCCTCAAATAGCACAGTCACATGCAAATTTGCAAGAAGACCAGCTGTTAATTACCCAGAAAAGAGAGATACAAATACTGAATTGGCATGAAAGTTTTAATCCCAGCTCTGCCACTAATTAGCTGGGTAACCTTGGACAAGTCATGGATGCCCTCCAGATACAAATAACCTCAGTCTTCAAAAAACAAGTGCATTTACCTAGACACAAAATCTCCATGATTTTTCATAGATATTAAATCATATTCATTCTCTTTATCTTGGGTTTGGATCTTTCTTGTTTTGTGATTAATTTATTTGAGATGGCTGAGCAATATTATATTATTTTGATGGCTAAATAGGCACATGGAAGTTAAGCTAAAATTCTAAAATGTTAAATTCCATATGCTAAAGACAGATCATTAATCATTATAGATCACTATTTGACTATCAAAATTATAATATTAACCTGATTAGTAAGAATAATCATTGTTATTCAAATATTATATTTTTATAGAATGATTTATAATAATTAAGACGTGAGCTAGGAGCTAGGAAACTCAGTGAAGGTAAGAAGATTTATGAAGATATTTGTATATCTGCACTAAAAGTTCAATTTCCTTAAGAAAATTTTGACACAATATTAATTGCATGCCTGAGAGATTATCCACAAACATTTTGAGAAGATAAAATATATTTAAATGACATAAAGTATGAATAGCTTAATAAAAATCAGTGCTATGTTTTAGGACATTATTTCCTCAAAAACCTGGAAGCTGTCCTTAGACTTCAGAAGTCATTGTGGCAATGAAATATAGTCTCTCTTTCCTTTAATCTCAACCTTTTTCAGAACCATTTCACTCAAATTTGTCACCAATTTGCTCTGCAAGTGAATGAAAACTTCCTTCAAGTGTGAACGTCACTCAAACTGTCATTAAGTTTGATCTTTATAGCAACATAAACTGTGGTCCTTGGAATCCCTTGCTAGAATCACAGAGGGAGTAGCCAAGGACAGTATAGAAAGAAGGTCTGTGAAGCAGTGTAGCCCAGTACAAAAGTCTCCTAGCCCGTCTCCCCACCTCCAG